TCCAAGGCACCTGAAGGCCAGACAAGGAATAATGGATGGAAACTAATCAAGGAAAGATTCAACCTGGAAATAAGATGATTTTTTTTCTAACAGTGGGAGCAATCAACCCATGGAACAGAAGTTGCCTTCAGAAGTTGTGGGAGCTTCATCCCTGGAAGCTTTCAAGAAGAGACTGGACTGCCATCTGTCAGAAATGGTGTAGGCATCTCCTGCTTGGGTGGGGGTTGGACTAGATGACCTACAAGGTCCCTTCCAACCCTGTTAATCTGTTGAACCCCTTTAGTCTGTTGTTTTTCATCCTTGGCAACTTTAAGACCTGTGGAGTTCAACTCCCAGAATTCCCCAGCCAACATGACTTATTGCGGAATTCTGGGTTTTGAAGTCCACAGGCTTTTAAAGTTGCCAAGATTGAGAAAGTTTTACTCTCATTGCAAAATCTATGATGCAATGAGACCATTTCAGCATCTCTGACAGATTTAAGCCCTTCTGGAGCCTATTTTAAATAAATCTCTTCCCTTGTCATTCCTATCCTTTGCTTCTAGCGTTGACCTTTTCAGTATCTCCATTCTATCTTCTCAATGGCCATTTTCATTTTTAGCTAGTGATGTTTTAATTATGAGCCACAGCCCTACATGTCTGGGCTGGGCTGGAGACTCTGCAAAGTCTCTGTTAAATATTAGAAAAGATCCAGAAATAAAAAGAATGGAAATCAAAAAAGAAAAATATAAATTACAAGCATTTGCAGGTGATTTAGTTTTTTATATTAGAAGAACCACTAGAAACTGGTCCTAAATTGATAGAGAAAATTGAGGAATATGGAGAAGTGGCAGGGCTGAAAATAAAGAAAAAACCAAAGTAATAGTTAAAAATCTTACAGATAAACAAAAAATAAGAATTATTTACTTACTTACTTACTTACTTACTTACTTACTTACTTACTTACTTACTTACTTATTGGTTCGATTTATATGCCGCCCTTTTTCCGGAGACTCAGGGCAGCTTACAATGCGTTAAGCAATAGTCTTCATACTTTTGTATATACCTGCTTAGTAGGGCTTTCGGCCCCCACAAGCGGTGTTCTTTCTTATACAAAGTCAGTTTATTGCCCCCACAAACCGGGTCCTCATTTTACCTACCTCGAAAGGATGGAAGGCTGAGTCAACCTTGAGCCTGGTGAGATTTGAACTTGCAGTAATTGCAGGCAGCTGGTGTTACTTAACACTGCTTTAGTCCGCTGCGCCACCAAGGCTCTATTGACAGAGAAAGTAGATCTGCAGATAGTAAAGAAAGTTAAATATTTAGGCATCTATTAAACAGCAAGATGTGCAACAATTAAAGACGATAACTATATAAAACTAATGCAACAAATTAAATTGGAGCTGGAGAAATGGAAGAACTTACAACTATCTTTGATAGGGAGAATAGCCACTGTAAAAATGAATATACTACCGAAATTACTTTTTTTATTCCAAACGATACCGATAAAAATAGAGGGAAAAAATACTTTGAAGATCTAAATAGAAAAAAATTTGAAGTATATTTGGCAAGGGAAAAAAAAGCAAGAATAAAACTGAAAATGCTACAGGAATCTAAAAGCACTGGGGGCTTTGGACTACCAGATTGGGAGCTATACTATCAGGCATACATACAGGGGTTAAAAAATGGATCATTCCTTGTGTGTCCAATCACACTTGGCCGATAAAGAATTCTAATCTAATCTAATCTAATAAACATGAAACATAGAAGATTACTACTGTTAGAGCAGGGATGAAATGTAAAATTTGTTACTACCGGTTCTGTGGCGTGGCTTGGTGGTGGTGGTGGGTAATGTGACTGGGTGGGCGTGGCCAACTTTTTTTTTTTTTAACTTTTCAAAGCATTTTTTCTAATGCTTTGAAAAGCCTCTGCCGATCAGGAATCTCAGCTGGGATCGTCAGAGACTTTTCAAAGCATTTTTTTTACCACCTCTTCGGCCAAGAGGTTGCAGAAAAAAATGCTTTGAAAAGCCTCTGACTATCCCAGCTGAGCCGCGCGATCATCAGAGGCTTTTTTTTTTTACTTTTAAAAGCATTTTTTTGTTGGAAGAGTTGTAGAAAAAATGCTTTAAAAAAAAGCCTCTGATGATCCTGTGGCTCAGCTGGGCATGGGGGGTGGGGCAGGGATTTTTGCTACCGGTTCTCCGAACCACCCACCATCATCGCTACCGAACCGGGCAATCCGGTCCGAACTGGGAGCATTTCACCCCTGTGTTAGAGGGACATGATCTTCAACTAGGATGGCATGCCTTTTTATGCCCACTCTATCTTCTCAATGGCCATTTTCATTTGTAGCTAGTGATGTTTTAATTATGAGCCACAGCCCTACATGGATGGGCTCGGCTGGAGACTCTGTAAAGTCAAGTCTTCATGAAAGTTTATCCATGCTGGGTTTCTCCCAGCATTTCCCACTGGTTCCTTGGCTGATCTTAATGCTCCCATAAGAGCAAATAATCATTAGCCTCTGACAGCAAAGTTGTTTTTGTTGGCTGATGTCATCAGATTTTAATCTGGGGGAGAGGGAAACCTTTATCTTAAGGTTGCAGCCTTCACCGTTGGTGGGATCATCCAGAAGGGAGTGAGCCAATTTCATGCCACAGGACCAAAATAGATTCTCAACTAAATCTCTTTTCATAGAATTTTAGTAGTGTTTAGGTTCCAAAATAAGTTCTGAGGGGTTTCCCCCCACCCCCACTTTCATCACCTTACTGCTATTGCTGAGCAGACTTCACACAGAAATATTCCTAAAGAATTATTCCACGGTGTTCTGAATATTTATGGAAAGGGGAATTGGCTATTTCATGGACAATTAGTGCCTAACTTTGATTTTGGGTAAGCAGAAAAGTAACATATTCCAAATTCAAAACTGACACTTGAGTATATGATGTGGCAGGAATACATTTCCAAATTAAGCCCTGCTGGCTACAGATATATAAAGGCATTCTCATTAGTTTCTTGAAATTCTCAGTATTAAAACCTATCCGCACATCCCTAAAATTAAAGGCAGTTACTTTGGCACCCTTTAACTCTGTTTCGTGAAAGAGAACTAGAAGGGCAAAATATCAGAGAACAGAGAATAGTCACAAAATATCCAGGAAAATAACAGAATAACAGAGTTGGAAGGGACCTTGGAGGATATCTAGTTCGACCACCTGCTTAGGCAGGAAACAGCGCACCTTAAAAATTTACAGTGTTGGAGCATTCACAACTTCTGGAGGCAAGTTGTTCCATGGATTAATTGTTCTCACTGTCAGAAAATTTCTCCTTAGTTCTAGGTTGCTTCTCTCTTTGATGAGTTTCCACCCATTGCTTCTTGTCCTGCCCTCAGGGGCTTTGGAGAATAGCTTGACTCCCTCTTCTTTGGGGCAGCCCCTGAGATATTCGAACACTGCTATCCTGTCATCCCCAGTCCTTCTTTTCATCAGACTAGACCAGGGGTCTGCAACCTGCGGCTCTGGAGCCACATGTGGCTCTTTCACCCCTCTGCTGCGGCTCCCTCTCACTCAAAATATGTGTCACAACTGGCAATGTGCGACACTCACCGGCCTGCAATTTATTGAGCTTTTCAACCCCCGGTAGGCCAACCATGGATAAATCCAAGAAAAGAAAAGTTTCAGAAGAAAACAGAATGTTTAATTCAACTACATATTATTCTTTTGTTGTAAGCCGCCCAGAGTCCCTTGGGAGTTGGGCGGCATAGAAATATGACAAAATAAATAAATAAATAAATATGTTAGTTTTGTGACCGCTCAAGAAATAGTCAGGCACGGGAAGGGTTTTGTGGCTCCCAGTGTTTTCTTCTCTGTGGGAAACAGGTCCAAATGGCTCTTTTGGAGTGTTTAAGGTTGCAGACCTCTGGACTAGACGTACCCAATTCCTGCAACCGTTCTTCATATGTTTTAGCCTCCAGTCCCCTAATCATCTTGGTTGCTCTTCTCTGCACTCTTTCTAGAGTCTCCACATCTTTTTTTACATCGTGGCGGCCAAAACTGAATGCAGTATTCCATGTGTGGTCTTACCAATGCATTATAAAGTGGTATTAACACTTTACATGATCTTGATTCTGGCAGAATACAAAATCTGGTATTCTGGCTTCTATTTGTTTGGATGAATTCCTTACTACGGACGTAGAGGCCCTGTGGAAATTTTCCAGCATCCATACTACAACTGACCTTGACATGGCACAAGAGAGAGTGTTTCTCTTCCTCATTTCTGTTATCAATTACATTTCAAAGAAGAAGAAAAAAGAGCAGCTACGATGGTGGATCTGAAGGAATTATGAAACCGAAAACTTAGAAAAAAGTTTGAAATGTTTAACAGACTAATTTGTGAGAAACTTTAATATGACTGATGATTGCAATACATTCAAGCCACGTGCTATTCCCAAAGTGTCCCTGCTTATAAATATCTTAAAGGAAGAGCTGTTTGATTTCGTTAAAAAGTCCCTTTCAAAATTAATGCAAGGTTTTTATGCATCTCTGCCTAAGCTTTGATGTGACCAATCCCCTTTAGGCACCGAGTTCCAATATCTGATTATTGTATGAACATCTATAAACTGGAGATGATTTCTACTAATGGTTCATCTTGAGTCATAGTGTGTTAGAGCCACAAGCCAACTCTTGCTTCCCATGATTAAGTCTCTGTGCATAGATGTGTATGGGTGTTCATGTTGCATAAATAATTATTCTCTGGAGGGGGAGAAAAATAATTTGCTTCTATTACAGCAGTCTCTTCTAAATAACTAAGGGCTTCCAGTTAATAAATAGTCAAATGGAATAGCTGTTGGAGAGACCTCTTTTGCTATTATCAATGCAGAAAGTGAGAGGTTTTTATCATGCCAACTTTGGACTATGCGTCCATTTTGTTGCAATGAAATGAGGTGGGAGAAGCTACATACAGGTAGTTTATATAGAGTTTTCTCTTTTTTTTCTCTCTTTCTGCTCCTGTCCCCACTCCCGTTTCCAGCCGGTGATTCCAACCAGCCCAACGAGCAGTTTCACTACACCAACCAGCACGATGGGTATGAACTCCAAAATGGACAACTCGACACTGCAAGATGTATTCATCTTCTCACCTGTGTCAGGACTCTATGGTCCCAGGTATGCCTTGCCTAGATGTCAGCATTACAAACTACATTCATTCCAGTGCTGACATAAGGAGGAGAAGAGGGGGCAGCTGGCAAGAGGACGCTTGACTTTTCACCTACTTACTTTCCCTGAAGATAATATCCCCTAGGAGATGGGATGGGAGGGGGGACATTCCTGGGAGCTGAAGTAATAGATATGGGGAGAGTGATTTGGAAGATGGCCAATGAGACGCAGAGAATTGGGGAACGGAAAGGGAAGGTTTGGGGTCAGGAAGTCAGTGTTGGCTACGACATGATCAGGGACGGATTGTCGTGCTTAATAAATGAAAGATTTCATCAAAGACTATTTGTTTGGAAATGCAATTAAATATTTGAGACGACACCGAAACCTGACACTAGAGCTGTTTATACCTGTTCTTTTTTTTTTAAAAAAAAAAGTTTTTCATTTTGTTTTAATACAAACATTTCATCTTTCATTAAACAGTGTGTCATCTGGGTACAAATATTTTGTGCAATAACAGTTAAAATTTACAGCCATATTCATTATTTTATCTATTTTTAAATTAATACTAATACCTAACATACCTACTACAGTGGTGAAATCCAATTTTTTTTACTGTGGGTGTGGCTTGGTGGGTGTGGCTTGGTGGGCATGGCAGGGGAAGGATACTGCAAAATCCCCATTCCCTCCCCACTCCTGGGGGAAGGATATTGCAAAAGCTTCATCCCTACCCCAGGTGTTATATTTAACTTTTGCTCCAAAAGACACATTAGGAGTTTATTTTCTGATTAGGTCTTATTTTCAGGGAAATATAGTACTAAATGTGTCCATCTGGCTAATGATTTTAACTCGGGCTTATTTTTGGGGTAGGGCTTATATTACGAGCATCTGAAAAATCATGCTAGGGCTTTTTTTCTGGTTGGGTCTTATTTTCCGGGAAACACAGTAGTTCTTTTCAAGCCTAGCCTTCAAACAGTCCTCTAGATCAGCGGTCACCAACTGGTGGTCCATGGACCACTGGTGGTCCTCGAGAAAATTTTGGTGGTCTGCAGAAAAATTATTTGCATTTTTTATATTGCAGTAAATCAGGGGTCCTCAAACTACGGCCCCTGGGACAGATACATGTAATGAACATTTGTATTGCTGCAGAGTCTCTCCCTTTGGGGTCTTTCTGTGTGGGTCGGAGGGGGGCAGAAATTCCAACTTGGGGTCTGCTTCAGCCTCCTGGTGCAGGGCTTTGGGTGAGGGGTGGAGGGAAGTGCCACTGGTGGCAAAGAGCCGGAGGGCCTTGTTCCAGTGGGACTGCCTCATGGCCTGGAACTGGCTGACCATCTCAGCCCACTGAGCCTCCAGGCGGCTGTACCTGTCCTTGCACTCCCGCAGGTCTTCCCTCTGCTTGGAAAGCCTATGCTCCTAGTCCTCAGTGAGGTGCTTTTGCTGAGCCTCCTTCTCAGTCAGAGGAGTGGCTGGGAGGGGTGAGGAGAGGCTGGCAAGGCGCCCCTTGACATGAGTGATATTGAGTTGGCTACGCCCACCCAGTCACATGACCATCTATCCATGCCCACACAGCCAGTCATCGGGACTCCTTACACAGAGTCACTCAGGCACTCGTCACTTCCCGCCTGGACTACTGCAATGCTCTCTACATGGGGCTCCCCTTGAGGAGAACCTGGAGGCTCCAACTGGTGCAGAATGCGGCCGCGTGGGGGATTATGGGAGCGAGAGGGCGCTCCCATGTAACACCTCTCCTGAGTGAGCTGCATTGGCTTCCAGTGGTCTTCCGGGTGCGCTTCAAGGTGCTGGTTACCACCTTTAAAGCGCTCCATGGCATAGGACCTGGGTATTTGCGGGACCGCCTTCTGCTGCCAATAGCCTCCCACCGACCAGTACGCTCCCACAGAGAGGGACTCCTCAGGGTGCCGTCAGCCAGGCAATGTCAGCTGGCGACCCCCAGGGGGAGGGCCTTCTCTGTGGCAGCACCTGCCCTCTGGAACGATTTGCCCCCGGAGATATGAAGGATATCGGACCTCCGGGTCTTTCGCCGTGCCCTGAAAACTTTTCTTTCCATCAAGCAGGGCTGGCGTGAACCCCCCCCCCCTTTTTTTTTTAGCCTTTTAAATTGTCAATGGGTTTTAGTTTGAATGTTTTAATTTTTTTTTTTAATTTGATTTATATGCCGCCCTTCTCCGGAGACTCAGGGCGGCTTACAATGTGCTCAGCAATAGCCTTCATCCTTTTGTATATTTATACAAAGTCAGCTTATTGCCCCCACAACTGGGTCCTCAATTTACCTACCTTAGAAAGGATGGAAGGCTGAGTCAACCTTGAGCCTGGTGAGATTCGAACCTGCAGTAATTGCAGGCAGCTGGTCTTAATAACCAGTTTAATAACAGGGTGCCTTAGACCACTGTATTACCAAGGCTCTTTTTTGGGGGCCAAATTTTGGGCCAAAGTCATATAATTCTTTTAATAATTTTTAATTTTGTATTGGTATGTGTTTTAGTTCTGGCTGTGCACTGCCCTGAGTCCACTAGGAGAAGGGTGGTATACAAATAGAAAGAAAGAAAGAAAGAAAGAAAGAAAGAAAGAAAGAAAGAAAGAAAGAAAGAAAGAAAGAAAGAAAGAAAGAAAGAAAGAAAGAAAGAAAGAAGGAAGGCAAATCATATTAGTGGTCGATGGGATTTAAAATTATGAATTTAGTGGTCCCAGGTCTCAGGTTTCACTGAGGTCCGAAAGGTTGGTGACCCCTGCTCTAGATAAATCATCTTCTGGGTCATGGTGATTCCTTATGGGTAATTTGGACCAAAGTCGTATTTTTGCAGTATGATTTTCTAGCAGATTAACCTCTTCTTCCTGTGCTGCTCTTCTTTCAGCCACTACAGCACAAATCTGGTCCATATGCAGAAGAAATTAGTGGCCCATGAGTCAAAAGTCTCCACTGCATAAACATTCCTTTTTAATAGCAATATGCTATTCCAGAATTGTTTTGTCTCTGATAACTTTTGGGTTAAGTTGGTTGAACTTAGTTTTGTTCCTAGATGAATCAGAACTAATTATCTCCTTTCTCAGCCAGCCAGTCAGGATGTCTATGGAGATTCTCCATGCTTTTTCCAAAAGGCAACTTGACTTTCTTGTTTTTTTTCTTTGAAAGCATTTTGCTTCTCATCCAAAAAGCTTTTTCAGAATGGCACCTTTGGGACAGTCAGTCAGGGATTGTACAGTAGCGGCCAAAATTGTGGCAACCTTTTGGGAAAAGTGTATTTTCTAAAACTAGCTAATAACACCACTATTTATTTATTTATTTTGCAGTAGTACCATAAAATTATATATCAATGGAAAGATAATTTAATCAAGAATGTAATGCAATAACTTTTATGAAGGAGTTGCTATTAGAATAGCAGTTACAGTAGAAAGAAGAAAAGTGAAACACATAGAAAAATGATCACCAGAGAAAAAATTGAGATATACAAAAATGATCACCATGTCAGTTAACACTTCATTGGGTAACCTTTAGCGTGAATGACGGCCTTACAACGTCTTCCCATGGAGTGAACCAAGTCTTTTAGTTCTGCAACTGTTATAATATGAAACCAAGATTGAATGATGGCTTCTATTCACTGGGTTTTATTGCTGGATTGCTTCTGACTAACAAGTTTCTTTAGTTGGTTCCATAGATTTTCAATTGGGTTAAGGTCTGGGCTATTCCCAGGCCATTCCATCAGTGGAATAGGATTATCTTGAAACTACAAAAAAAAAAAAAAAAGTGGTATTATTAGCCATCAAACCTCAAAAATACACTTTTCCCAAAAGGTTTCCACAATTTTGGCCACTACTGTAGTTCAAACAATTGCAGGGACTCTAACTTATCTTCCCTGAACCTATGACAAACGCATCATCTTTATTATGAAAAGGCTGAAAAGTTATGTCCGACTCCTTTGGTACCAATCTTGCTGTTTCTCTCGTTTCTTCCCAGGGATGACATTGGCCTTGTGTCATGTGATGAAATCAGCAAATACGGGATTGGGAAGTCTGCCATGAAAGGTTCTGAATCTCCAAGCTACTTCCTGGAACAAGAAAGTGGAAAGTATTACACGTTAATTGAAGGCGAGGATCATCCCATGAGTTCTGAATATGAAAGAGGTAGAGTGACAGGGGTGCGGAGAAGAGAAAAGACACCCACGCATGGTATGCTTGCTGGATCTGGCCTTTCTGAATCTTTCTTTGTATGTCACCTTTTTTCCAGTCTGGAAGTGTTTAGATAGACTGGGTCTGCAACTCTTCCAGCCAACATAGCAATAGGAAGGGAAGGGAAGGGAAGGGAAGGGAAGGGAAGGGAAGGGAAGGAGGGAGGGAGGGAGGGAGGGAGGGAGGGAGGGAGGGAGGGAGGGAGGAAGGAAGGAAGGAAGGAAGGAAGGAAGGAAGGAAGGAAGGAAGGGCAGTAGCTATTACACTTACATACTACTTCATAGTGCTTTACAGTCCTCTCTAAGGGGTTTAGTGAGCATATTGCGTTCCAACAATCTGGGTCCTCATTTTACCGACCTCAGAAGGTTGGAAGGCTGAGTCAACTCTGAGCCGGTGAGATTCGATCTGCCAAACTGCAGCTAGCAGTCAGCTGAAGTAGCCTGCAGTGCTACACACTAACCACTGTGCGCCACCTCGGCTCTAACATAACTATTGATATGGTTACTTGGGAATTCTTGGAGATTTCCCAGTATGTCTGCAGCACAGAAGGTGGACACTCTTAGTTTCAGAGAAAAAGATCTTTCTTTGAGTTCCCTGAAGATGCTACAATCTTCTAAACATCAAGCTATTGTCCTTTTCCAGTCATTTCTGGAGAGGAGAGAACCAACAAAGATCTGGCAAAGGTTTTCCCTTTATCCAAGACCTTAAAATCAAAGGCTGACATCTCTTCACCCTAAATATTGAGAAGTACCATGTTTCCCCGAAAATAAGCCCTCCACAAAAATATTTAGCCACGTGTGCAGCCAGTCCCCACCATTTCCTCTGGTTAGAGTTAGGGAGACAGAGCTGAAAAAAAGGCCAAACGCTTATTTTGGGGTTCAAAAAATATAAGACAGGGTCTTATTTTTGGGGAAACACAGTAGTAAGGTTGTCCGTCTAGGTCCATGGAAGTTTTGCAATGCGTTAGTGAGGATTGCAAAACTTAGAAGTGGATTTCTAGGAGATTTCTAGGATCCTTCCCAAGCTCTTAAATGAAGGAAGTTTGAGGAAGACCAAAAAGTGGATTGTGGTATCCAAATTCTGCTCTTCAAAACAAATTCCCATGCTTAGATTTCTTCTTTTCTTAGTTTTGGATAGTATGTCTTTTGTGCTAAGCACCAGTTGGGGAAGTTAGAGGTTTTTGCAAAACAAAAAAGAAATATTTTTAATGTTCTATCACTGAATATTAGAGATATTAATCAGAAAACATGATGTGCTATCACGGGGATTTTCCCCATTCCTCTGGATTCCTACAAGGGCAGGAGTCGAGTGGAAGACTCAAAGCGTGAAGATCCTGTATCATCACACACTAAGGAAATGAGGATTTGTTTGTTTGTGAGAATGTGTCTCTTTGAGCCCAGCTATCCTCCTATTTATTTATTGGATTTATCCCTGCTGCAGAGAGACTCTCCGAGGTTTACCGTTTCCATCAGTACAAAGAATAAAATGTCCACAATAAAAACAAATCAAACAAAGATAATCAAATCACAAATCCGAGCATGTACTGGGCTATAACCGGCAGCATCCATAATTCAAATTGCTGTCTGACAAAGCTTCGGGTGTTTTAGGACTTTAGACAACACCGAGACCAGAGGGGATCTGGGTGGAAATTCTTTCAAAGTGCCAAGGGCACCAAGCCAAAATGACCTGTGAGCCTCACCCCACACACTTTGCAGAAATGGGGGGTGAGAGGAGACCGGTAGAAGGTTCTCCTGTCATGTATGTAATGGGCTGGTTGAGACCTGGTGAAAAAGACAGCCCCGTAAAGTACTTCCAGGTCCTTTAGGTCTTGAAAGGTTAAAAGCAACGCTTGGAATTGTACTCAGATGCAAATAAGGAACCAGCCCAGGGCCAGAGGTGTTAATATTCATGTCCATGTTGCAGATGTGTACAGCCAGTATTCATTCTGAGTCAATTGAAGCTTCAGGGCAGTCTTCAAAGGCAGCTTCACAGAGAGAGCATTGCATTAGTACAAATGGACAATGATCAGAGCATGAGTTATAATTACAAGGACCTTGCGGGTCTGGGTAGGACTGCAACCGATACATCAACAAAAGCCTTCCTGGCCACAGCCTCTAACTCTGGTTTTTATCTGTTGCCATGAGACCGGGAGGGTCCCCAGGAGACAGATGTGCTGTTTCAGAGACGGTGCTAAGCTATCAGGAGACCACAACAGAAATATTGGAGTTGTGTGGTAAACAAAACAGCAATTCCAAATTAATTGAGTTCAGTTTCAAACTCTTTTGCTTATCCAGACACTCACAGCCTCCAGACACTGGATTAAGACACTGATGGCCTTTCCCCTGTCTCCAGATCGAGCTCTGTGCAGTTGGATATCGTTAGCATACAGCAATAGCAATAGCACTTAGACTGATACCGTTTCCCCCAAAATAAGACATCCCCTGATAATAAGCCCCAATCAGGCTTTTGAGCACATGGCAATAAGGCCAAGCACTTATTTCAGGGTTCAAAAAAATATAAGACAGGGTCTTATTTTCGGGGAAACAAGGTGGAAGGAAGGAAGGAAGGAAGGAAGGAAGGAAGGAAGGAAGGAAGGAAGGAAGGAAGGAGCGAGCAATAGCAATACCGCTTCACAGTGCTTTACAACCTTCTCTAAACGGTTCACAGAGTCAGCCTATTGCCCCCAACCATCTGGGTCCTCATTTTAACCACCTCAGAAGGATGGAAGACTGAGTCAACCTTGAGCCTGGTGAGATTCGATCTGCCAAATTGTAGGCAGCTGGCAGGCAGCAGAAGTCGCCTGCAGTACTGTACTCTAAGCACTGTGCCACCCCTTGGTGCTTTTCCAAAAGGCAACTGGACTTTCTTGGGTTTTTCCCTGAAAACATTTCACTTCTCCTCTAAGGAGCTTCTTCAGAACTGAACTGGAAAACTGAAGAAGCGAAACGTTTTCAAGGAAAACAACCAAGAAAATTCAGTTGCCTTTTGAAATGTTTCACGTGGATGCTAAAAAGCCAGGGGGGGAAGCACCAAGTCTCCACAAGGAAGAAAATTTTGGTCTGATCATGTTCCAAATGTTACAATCTAATCTACAACTCTGTGCTTTTTCTGGCCAGCCCAAATCCAACTATTAACGAGTGATTACTTAGCTTTTGAAGATCAGCCGAGGTCAAGGAGCTTGCCTTGAGCCTTTGCAGGAAGAACAGGATCCAGATGTAATATAGAGATTATAAAAAAAGTAATAAGGATGTGGAAGTATATCTCCAGGCCTTTGGGGAAAACATCTGCACCTTCTCCTTTGGCAGATGTTAAAGAATGCTTGTAAGTAGGTCAGGTCCAAGGTGCTTTCGAAAATATATAGTTGGATGCAAAGGAAATGTGCAATAGCTTTACAATGCAGCTAAAAGACAACCGTTCCATTGGTTAATGCAGCAAAAGAAACTCCTAGAACAGTGCTGAACTGAGTGCTGAAAAGGGAGCATGCACATATGCGCGGCACAAAGTGCCGAAAAGGGAGCATTTTGCGCACATATGCGTGCACGCTCATCAGGGCCGCGAGCAGGAAGAGGAGCTGCCCAGGGGGCATGTGTGCGCCAGATAAGATACTTCCGGTTTCCAGCGCGCGCATGCACACTGCCCAGCAAGTCTTCCGGTTACATGCGCTGATCAGCTGGCGGCCTGCATGCTCACGGCACACATGCTCATGCGCATGTGTGTCCAGCCGGATGCTTCCAGCCCCAGAAGAGGAATCCGCAGTTCTGCATTGGTGGGACAATTCTTGAGAATAATTCTTGAGAATTCTTTTTAAAAGAAAAGCTTGGCCTGAAATGCATCTGCCGTTTGCCCGCCCCCTCCAGCTGTACACTATTTATTTATTTATTTATTTATTTATTTATTTATTTATTTATTTATTTATTTATTTATTTATTTATTTTATCATATTTGTATACCGCCCTACTCCCGAAGGACTCAGGGCGGTGAACAGCCAAAATAAAATACAAAGACATACAAAAGTTAAAAAACTATTAAAAACAGATTAAATAATTTAGGCTCAAAAAACAAATTAAAACATCCAATTTATCTAAAAAACATTTAAAACCCAATTTAAAAGCCAATTTAAAAGGGAGAGTTAGGCCAGACCAGCCTGTTGGAATAAAAACGTTTTTAGGGCGCGGCGGAAGATGCGTAAGTCTTGGATCCTCTGTATCTCTAGGGGGAGCTCGTTCCAGATGGCAGGTGCCCCCACAGAGAAGGCTGTCCCCCTGGGGGCCGCCAGTCGACATTGTTTGGCCGACGGCACCTTGAGGAGCCCCTCTCTATGGGAGCGAACTGGTCGGTGAGAGGCTACTGGTGGCAGAAGGCGGTCTCGTAAGTACCCTGGTCCTGAGCCATGGAGCACTCTAAAGGTGGTAACCAAAACCTTGAAGTGCACCTGGAAGACCACTGGGAGCCAGTGCAGCTCGCGCAGGAGGGGGGGTCACATGGGAGCGCCACATCGCTCCCGTCCCGTTCATTTGAGAGTTTTGCTGGATGTACTGACAAACCGTGTTGCAAAATTCAGGGAAATGTTTTTGTTTGGGTATTAGCTTAATAATACGAATGTGGGATTGGTTCACACTCCGACTGCAAACAAAATGACTTTATCAACACCTCTCTCGTCCTGCTGACTGTACGTGAAAACGGCTGAAACTCACCAATTAAATGTCCTAGATTATAGTGAAAATGCATAATTTGGGATTTTTTTTTTTAAAAAAGAGGCCTTTGGTTAATTTCCTAATCTAACACCCTCTAGATTTTGTGTCACCTCAAGTACCTCACCAGTGAAGGGTCCATGTCAGCTGTAGATAGCTTGTAAGAAGGGTTCTCTGAATTTTTATTGTCATCTGCAAGCATCTCATTACCTGGGTGTGTAATTTCTTCCGTGATCAAAGAGAAAAGAGGACAGATCTCAGTAACACCTCCTCTTACCTACAAACTATTAATTAATACCCAAATAAGCA